TCGAAAATGATGACAAAACTTCCATTAGCTGTCAACCGCGGCGTAGCCCTGATTTCTTTATAATAATATGTGATTACACATGTGAATAATGAAAACTTAGTTAATAGCCCAATTATTGTTTGTTTTTTAACAACGACGTAGTAAGTAGTTAGTCAAAAATATATATAACAAAAGTTCAACTACCTTCTCTTTCATATGAGTTGCAAAGATTTAGTTTTTTTTATAATTTGCTTTCATAAATTAATGAAACTTCCGTGTTTAAATGCTCCTATATTATTATTATTCCTTATCAATTTGATATAATTCTGTAATTTCCTACAAACAATGTATCATTATCGATGAATCACACAATATATTTCAATATTGAAGAGCGTTAACTATCGGTATAATGGATCCTTTTGTCCTTGTATTCGTTACGTTCAAAACTTTTCAACGGCTGTTCTTTATTGCGTGATACTAATGTAAATGCCTATGTAAATCGACATGAAATGTGATTGGAAAATTCTTCGAAGTAATGTTTATCGTTACACATAAAATAGCTAAAAAGAAAGTTTGATTCAGAATTCTATTCAGATTTATCAAATCGTATTGTATATTAATGTGACTATGAAACAAATATTATAATTGGATGTACATATATAAGTAAAGAGATTGGAGAAGAATTGAAGATAAAATTCAGTACCGTGCTATAGAAAGCATTATGTGAAAAGCTACGTGCTATGTTCAGGAGTTGACTGATAACTTCTGATAATAATGGCGAATATAATATTTAATTTCCAAGAATATCCAAATATAAAAACATATGATAAAAGTGATAATTAATTATCAAATACCAATCTTCTAAACGGAGGTTTTATGCCACTAGTATCAAAAAGGAGGTAGCCTTAAATAAGTACACATTTATATATAACAAATAAATATATTGAAATGAAATTAATGTTTTTCTGATTTACTACACGATCTTTATTTTTGATTTTAAACTACATACTCCCGACCAATCGGTTACTTTACAGTAACCGTGATCACATCTCATCTGCCCGTAAAAATATTAGTTCATTTAAATTTTTATTAAAAAATGAAACTGTGATTATAAACAACTAAAATGATTTTTATGTAAAAAATATCTACATTATTATATAATTTGAAATTTATAAAATATAAAATATATATTTATTGTTTAAATGATAAAACCTAAAATTAGTTTTTAAATTAAATTTCTTTTATAAACTAATAAAAATTAATGGTTTAGTAAAAGTATGTAAACTGACTTTTTAAAAACAATATTTAAAAATTCGTTCTAAATATTAAATATTTTTTTCAGAAAAATTATATTCTGATATTATTATATCTTATTTATTAATAAGATTATTATTTGCCACTAAATGTCACTTCATTAATAAACGTAGATTAAAAAATATTTTTTATATAAATAAGGTTTTTTTATTTTATATAGCAATATATTTATATTAATGACGTTTCTCGTTCACACGTTTAAGCTATCAAGACATAATATTTAAAATGTTGTTATGTTTGGAAAATCATTTTAGTGCTTATATAAATATGAATAATATATTTAATAATAAATATCGACTTACAGAGAGGCCTGGATTGCAGCCGGATGTGATAGAATTTTTTCTAAACTTTGGTACGCATATTTGCATCGAACTCTTCCCTCTAGGTGGACCCGCACACCCGTACTCGTCACTTCTATTATTCCTTGTCAAATTTATATTGTTAGTGTTGTTGACCTTTACCAAAATGTTACAAGTCTGTGACGCTATTTGAAATAAACCCTCCTCTAAATTCCTCTTATTACTATACTGTCTGTTAAAGTGTAAATAGTCCCACCAGGAAGGCATTTTCTGTTATGAAACGTAAAGAAACAAGTTTCAGATAAGTTCGTATAGTCCGCGTGCGTCCGCTTTGAAACGAAAACGTACTTTGACGACGGTGACTCCGGGCGTGCGCGTTAAACTTCAACGTTGAAGTAAAGCCTATAAATGTTTATTATTTTAATGATAAAAAATAGACACTTGAGTTTATTTAAAGCTTACATAAACGCACATGATAGTTTAAATATGTAAGAATTTGTTACAAGGTTACCGTCGACTATTTTAAATAATAAAATTGCTGTTTATAAAGATTGTAACTTAATATTTTTTAAGAGACACATTAATGAACTACTGATTTATTTTTATTCAAGCAGTCCTAAATAAATTTATAATAGAAATAAAGAATTTATTTATGAAAATATATAAAATTTAAATCCCGTTTAAATCATACGCATCTAAACAAATCCCTGCATCGTTACATTTATTAAATGAAAAATTTATCCGACAAAACTAAATGAAGGGATATCATGAGTGATGAAATCCTTATTATGTTTAAGCGCAGCCCTAAATGAGTATAGGAGTGCATGTAAAAACAGTTTGCACATATATAATGTATTTGTTGAGGATCCTAATGGGTCGACAAACACTAAACGTGTTCCCACTGGAATACCCAGTCTGGTACTTGGATGTGGTAATATTAATATTTTAAATGTAAGTACATATTTGAACAGCGAAAGCAGTCGACCAGAAAACATGGAATAAAGACAAAAGTTATTAACATTTAATTTTTATTTATTCTCTTCTCTTTACACTCAAGAGTAGATATTATATTAAACTAAGGACCCTATAAGCATGACTAAAATTTAATGTCGGATAAATATTTTTTGCAAGTTAGGCAGTGAATTTCAAACGTCATGTGAAAGTGTAAAATTTGATTAGATTTACCTAGTTTTATAAACTTATTGCCATTACTGGATTGTTTACAAACAATGCAAAATTTTGAAATTTAAAAGTATTAACCTAAATGAAGTGATAATTTTCCCTTTTCTTATTTTAGAAACATTATTGTCCAAAATGATTATGAATTGAATTATATTTTTCTCAGAGTTCGTAAATGTGAGACACATTTAGGCCCATAGCACACGGCGTATTTTAAACGCGCAGTTTACGCGCGTACTTCAAACGCCATTCGATCGCCCTGTAACCTAAGCACACGGGGAGATCGTGAAACGCGCGTCTACTGCGCGTATACGCGCAGATACAGCGAACAGACGCGCTGTGGTCGCGCGTAAGGGCGATTTCAGACTAGCGTTTTTTTCAGCGCGTATACGGTCGTTTTAGTATACGCGCTTACACGCGCGCTACATTACGCGCTTCAAAAAACCGGACGCGCGTAAACGCGCATACTTCGGCGTGTTCGCTCGAATCGGTGGTATCGTGTCAGTATCAACATGGATTCTGACGAAGAAACATTACTTTTTGCGTTACTTATTCGCCGTCGACTGAGACGACGGAAAAAGTGCTGGGTGTCACCGATAGTTGCATCAAGACTGATAACCGGTCACATTAATACACTTTACCCAGAACTGCGAAGTGCTTCTAAACGATTTAAAAATTACTTTAGAATGTCTTTGAGCACTTTTGATATATTGTTAAATATGTTAAAATCACAGTTAGAGCATACGCTCACGCTTATACGAGCTTAGAAGCGCGTCAACGCTCGTACGAGTTGAGCGTGTGCCAAAAGGCGCGCCTATACGAGCCTACATGCGCTTCCAAAAACCAGCTCATACGCGCGTATAAAACGCTAGTCTGAAACCGCCCTCACTTTTGTGTTTTGTTTTGTTTTTTGCTCTGCTCCTACTGCACTAATGTACGCGCGTTTGTATAGCTTCAAACTAGCGTTGAACGCGCGTCAGACGCGCGCTTTTATTTCATCAATGTAAATGCAAATATCAGCGTCTACGGCGCCGAAGACGCGCGTTCTTGGAACGCGCGTCGTCTGCGCGTTAAATACGCCGTATGCTATGGGTCTTAGATTATTATTTTATTTGGAAATAAAAATTTAAGCAACAAGTGAGTTAGTTCTATGGCGCAACTTGCAGAAAAAACAATAATTTTGTTTTAAAAATCAAGAATATAAGTAAATGTAAAATTTATTTTCCAAAATTATCATCAAAATTGTAACTAATATTATGTGTGTAGGTACATGGACATATATATTCCTTTTGTATGGATTTCATTGTAAGCATGTTTAAAGTTGTCCAGAGACATTTTGCTAAAAAAGAAATACTTTTTCGAGTAAGGATTCACGGCTTTAGCTATTCAGTTTTTTAGAGTGTGATTATATTATGTAGGTAATTATACACTTTCACGAGTGCACATTTCAGTAAGACTATTTACATTACATTGCATGAATTTTATACTGTTCAAGTGACTAATATGATTGATTGTGATCGTACCTGTTCGTAGTCACGGTTAGTGCATAGTAGTCGAAACGTTGGTCAGAAATGTAAAATAATAACAATACAATTGTAGACATTTAAATCTTTTAAAAGTTCTTAACATTTGAGAATTAAACCTAATATTACCATAAAATACTTAGATTTAAAAAATCCCGTAGGGACTTAAAACACTATTAGATGAAAAACTTTTATCTTTGCACTAAAGGTGTTGTTAAAAAATTATCATTTTCATTGCTTTTTTTAATGTATTATTTTAAAGTCTTTATTGGTTTCAAATTTTCAATACAACAAAGAAAGAAAAATTTTGTTAAGAGAATAAAATCATACACACCATTATATAACATTTGGCATCAAGATATTACAATATTAGTCTTGTATATGCTACATAAAAGCAGTGACAGTTTTTTAAAATCAACATTAAAATAAATATGGAAACTGAATCAAAGAAGTTTTTATAGGAGAACATTTGTTTCTGTTCTAGGAATTATAACAAATTTTATTTTGTTTTGTTCATTGCAATCTCTAGCCTTAAACTATGTTCTAGCCTTCATTAATTAGGAATTACATTACTGAACTGGCTTATTTTTATAGAATTTGTTTTAATATTAAGAAATAAAACTAAACAAAAGTTGTATAAAAGACATTATTAAAGTAAATTCATTATTATTTATACACATGCATAATATATGATCTAAATTATCACTTAAATAGAAACTTCTTTCATTTCAACATCATCAGAAGTTATTTCTATATCATCATTTTCATCTAACAATGCTTGTAATTGATGTATAGATGTTACTAATACATGGAATTGTTTTTTTCTCAAAGACAGACGGCTCTCCAACTGCTGTCGCGTCCCTTCTAAACTGCTCAACTCCATTTTTAATGTACTAAGACGTTCCAAAGTTTCTTTTCTATCAGGCTGTTCGCTGATGACTTTTGCGAGAACATCATATTCAATACGATTCTTTCTAACTGTTTTTGCTTGTGTCAAATCTGCTTTGCTCTTTTCTATATTACCTTTGGCTACTTCTATACCGTTTTCAAGTATTTTTGATAGTGCTTCATAGCTCTTCAATTCAGCGGCCATCATCTCTGAGCCTAATTGTGATTTTGTAACTGCAAATTCACATTGTGCTAGCTGTGCAAGCATTCTGTCGTGTGTTGCTTTGCTGAAAATACACAATAATAAATAAATAATACTTCACTTTTACAAAAAAAAGATATAGTAAAAACTTGTTTTTTTAAATTATGAAATGTTTATTTGAGCAAATGTGTGAGTATAAGTATAAATCTAACCTCTCTTCCGGTTTTTCGTCAGTGCTATTAGACCACTTTATTAAAGTTTTAAGTAAAACATTAAGCCGTCTGTCATCACCAGTTCCATCCCCATCTATCAGTAGACGCCTGCGAATAACGTCCTCTGGAAAAGAAATGTTATTAGAAACTTAAAGATTTTCATATACATAATTTACTAGCGTCAATTTACCGTCAGCCATTTACACGGTAGATCGGCCGGTAAAAAATAAAATGTAATTTTAATGTCTGCAGATGTTCAGTATAGCGCTGCTCTTAAGCTCTTTTATACGAGTCAAAACTTGAAAAGTCAAAACACAAAACTTTGTTTTCTATGCAATCCGTGCTTCGGATTAATTCAAACAATTTTTTTCATCTGTTCTCTGGAAATAAGCAAAGAACACTGGTAGTCTGGTACATACAGAATTATAGCTTTTTTCACTTAAAATGTGTATAGAACCTAGCAGACTTCTTCAATTTCTATAATTTTAAAATATATCAACAGAAATTGAAACAAATTTGTGTAAAAATGTGACCTGTATAAAATGTCTTTTCAAAAATCTGGTATTCTCTAAAATGTAATTTTACTTTAAAATTTTCATAAAAATACTTATTTAAAATTTTTATTTCTATATGCGATGAGCATAAGAGTTCTTTTTCCACCTCTAATACCATTTGAATAGCTATTTTATACTCATAGAATATCGGGTATTTCAGAACGTAAACTGTCACTAATGTTTTGCACTTTATACTTGACTTTTGATTGACTCCCTAGCCTAGCCCCCGAAATTGGTACTCACTAATAAATTATGGCAATTTTATTAATTTCGGTCGGTTTGTGTTTAGATTTTATCACTTACATATGATTTGCCGTCTAGCGATAGAAGCCAATAAACAGTGAAAATGGAAAACATTGATTTCAGTGAAAAAATTGAAAAATATTTTTCAGAATTGGGTCGATGGTGTGTACATTTACGTGATTAAGACTATTTACTAACACTTTACTTGGCGTAAATAATAAAAAATGTTCTATTTTTAGGAAAGTATGGCGCGGTATTATATTAGGTCAAGTGCTATCTCTTCTGTTGAGTGGAAAATGTATTCTTACTACATTACTCCAGAGTGCTACTTGGCAGTTTCCTACTAATGGACAGCTAGTTATCCCATACTTTGTTCTTTTCATATTATTTTCTCCATCTCTATTATGTCGAGGCCTTACACAGCTAACCAAGTAATGAAAACATTAGTATTTGTGTTATTATTTTGAATATATTACTAACAACATATGAAATTCGTAATATTTTTTCAGGAAATGGTGGTTAATACTTATAGCTTGTATACTAGATGTGCAGGCTAATTGGCTGCTAGTTCTGTCACAAAGATTCACCTCGGTGTTGAGCTGACAGCTGTTAGCATGTAGTGGTGTTGGGGCAGCCTTAGTTGGGGGTGCGTGGAGAGGTCAAAGGTTAGGGGTCGCTCATGTTGCCGGAGCAACGTTGGGCTTGATGGCAGTTGTTTGTGTGGTGTGGGCGGATGTTGAAGGAGCTCCCACTGATGGTAAGTTTATAACGGTAAATAGAATAGTTGTACTTTAGATTTAGGTAATAAAATGTTGTACTAGCCTAATATTATCCAATAGTTGGTAAAATTTAAGTCAAAAGTAGTCAGAAATTGAATTATTCCATTTTATATATGTAAAATAAACTATACAATTTTTTTTTGCCTTATTTTCAGGTAAAAACCAATTAGTGGGTGATATGCTTTGCTTAGCCGGATCACTACTCTATGCTCTTGTGACAGTGCTCCAAGAAATAATGCTCAAAACACATTCGTGTGCTGAATATCTAGCATTGCTCGGATTCATCGGGAGTTTGTTGTCTTGTTCACAGACATTTTTCTTAGAATTTAGTGATCTGATGACATTTAACTGGTACGAGTTAGATACGATTATACAGTTGGGAAGTTACTGTGTCGTGCAAACAATATTCCAAATCCTTCAGAGTTTTATGCTAAGGGATGCAGGATCTATAATACTACACCTGTCTTTCCTCTCTTCGGATTATTATACTTTGATAGCCGGGATGTTTATATTCCAATTTAAGGTGACTTATTATTTACTACTAATATTAATGCTCAAATTTCAGATTAGAAAATTTTTAAATACAATTTTTCTTGTTACTTAATAAATATATGAATTTAATTACCAACATTTTTTATAATTATTGTTTCAGTTCCATGCTCTTTATTTCCTATCATATTTTTTGGCGATGGTTGGAGTATTTCTCTTTAGTGCAAGACGAACATCTAACCCTGTGGTTATACCACAAATCATTCATGACTCTGTACAGACACAGGATAATGTGTCCATGTAAGTATAATTTTTGTATGTTATTCTTATACATTGTTCAATTTTGATATGAAGAAAAGATTTCACGATCGGATATATTGTTTACATATATTTCTTTTATTTTTCTTCTAATCAGGGAGTACACAGTACCTGCATTGGACTGCATACCTCTATCCGAAGGTCTTGAACCGCCAATGAGTCGAGATACAACATTCACATCATTCCTTGGAGGACCTCAGACTGCTAACACCATGCCAAATGGAAACATGTCATTTGGACCTATAATTACAGACGAAACTAAGGAAATAAATCAAGACATAAATCAATAATGTTTAATGTTACTTCATTTTTTAATATACATACATAATATATTCTATGACAGTTTGCAGTTTTTGGACCAAGTTTGATTAGCACAAATTAGCGCAAAACTTTTATATTAGATTTGACTGATGTTAGAGAAACGGGTATATCTATTACTTTGATTGTCTGACATGTGATAAATGTTTAAGAAGTTGAATGTTTAGAACAAATTAGTTTTGTTGTTAGTGAATTAAAATCATTAGATGTTTATGAAGAATTGTAGATAACAGTTCTTGTATGTACAATGATTTATTTAATTTTTTTATGGTGTTTGTTTGTTGTTTTGAACAATGTTATAATTTTTGTAAATTCTAATCATACAGATGCTTTTTATAAATTTTAATTAAATATATCACTATCAGCACAATAATATAATAGATATTTTAAACTTTTTTATTAATGATGGATCTTCATTTTATGTTGCTTACACTTGTCAGCCACTTACTAATTATCAATTTTTTCTCAATAAGTTTTTACAATACAACCTGTAAAATGTAATCATAATTTTTCCTCAGTGAATTTTAGAGGCACATTTTCTTTGATCTCCTAGAAATATAAAGAAATATTTTTAATTTATTATATCACGGGGATTTTAATGTTGCCTGAAGTTGTATGGATTTTTTAAATAATTTATTAAACTTTATTAGAAATAGTTATTGTAATATTTTGTCACGTGCACATTTAATTTTAAACACACTCTGACAAAGTCATACTTAAAATGCATAAAGAAATTGAAAAATTTATAAACGAATACTGCCATATACTCGAATTTTTACTCAATTTTTAATCAGCTAGATTAGTGATGTTTATATGAGATTTAAATGTAGTATCTATTTAAATTAAGGGTGTGTATAATAGTTGATATAATAATATTGTTTAATCTTAGTTATAAGGTAGACTTATAACTTAACTTTCAGTTAACATTGGTTTTAACTTTGTAAGCAATACAAATGTCATTGATCGGTCATATTCTAGATTATTATATTAGCATATGCCGATTTTTGTTTAACGAGTTTCGGCTTTTGGCAATGTATGTTAGTTTTCATAAAATAATATGAAATGTTATAATTGAAATAATGATCAAACTTAAAAATGTCTCGTGTCACTACAAGCGAATCTTGTTCTGGTTAATGATTCACGTGTAAATTATAAAAGAAAATTTCAATTTATTTTCTTTTTTACGACAGTAATTAAAGGTACACAAGACTTTAGGTACAGCCTTTTTTTATACATATTGTAATTTATGTATCAGCGATTATTGAAGAATTTTCTTTTCAAGGTCATTGTTAAACCAATCTTTTTATGTTTGCTGAATATTGTTATAGCGAAAAAAAATATCGGCATAATACGCCTAGCGGATCTCAAAACCTTATTCATATAAATATGTTATACTGTTTTACTATTTCACGCTGTGATTTGTTCGATTCTCAGATGTACTATGACGTTATATTTTTAAGAATCTATTTAATTTCGTTACTAATGAGTTGAAACATATATCGCTATACTAATATAGAAGTTATTTATATCGCTCAATTACTAAAAGTAAGTTACGCATTTTATTAACTAGTCCATTAGTATGAATTGATAAAAGGATTTGACAGTAACTTTAAATAGAGTTTACTCTTCCGTCGCTAGAACGGTTGTATTATTGCTTCAAGGAATGTAATGTCATTTAGCATGTATTGTAATACTTATCACAAGTTTTCATTGTCACACTACAAACGGAGAATTTTGTTAATATATTATCTGTCGCTATTAGCCATATGATTTGGAGGAGTTGTACAAATAGGATTTTTCTTTGAAATATTGGTTTTAAGATTATGAGAGGCACTCTCATCTCAAGAATATTGCTACTCGAAGCGAGTTTCTCATCTATTAATCTATGTTGTACCATGCTCGATTTTATATAAAGTTAAAACTAGTAACGCTCCGTATTTAGTATGACTGAGGAAACTTTTGGTAAGGATATAAATGTTGGGATTAGAATCACTGCAATGGTAACTTTGACTAACATAGTTCTACGTGAATATTGTTTTATATAATATTTTAATTACAAACCTTCTAGTCAATATAACATTCTATGTTTTACAATCCAATTATAAATTGTCATTAAAGTGGTGATTTTACATTCCAATTTACAGCATGTCTTAAATGGTCGTATTATACTACTAGGTCATTAAATATACAATGTTTTTGAATTTAGCTGTTTTACTTCAAATATATATATGAAATAAAATAAATTTATAGCTTAAATAGTATTTATTATCTTACAGCATTGAAAAATAAGGGAAATAAATCATTATACTACCAAAAATAAATGGACAGATAATTCAGTTAAAGAAGGAAACTATAATATACAGGTTTCGGTTCACATCTTGTCACAAATACAATTAATAATTATAACACTACAAGAAAATACAGTCAGTAAATATTAGTACAAGTTATATTGTATAGGTACTTCTACTTGAATTGGCTGTCTTGGAAGTTGAAAATTCAACAATGAATATTCTTCTAAAGTTAACATACATACATAGAAAGATATTAAGATAAAATAATAATGTTTCAAATGAGAACAAACTCTTTTCATGGTTAACTCAAGAAAATGAAAAATACATACAATAAAAGTTATTTCCGAATATCTTAGAGATATCTTGTGTTTATAAGTCATCTTAATTATTCGACTAAGCTTCATCTTCACTAGCTGAGACAGATTTTCTAGACTCAGGTGTCGCTGGTCTAGAGTTTCTAGATCCGGATCTAGACCTAGATCCAGAGTGAGATCTCGATCCGGAACGACTGCGCGATCCACTTTTGGATCTTGACCTGGAACGCGATACACTCTTCGACTTTGACCTGGAACGGCTTTTGGATCTGAAAAATAGTCATTTATATAAAGCAAAAGTTATTATTACTTAATTTCTTAATGTGTCCAATATTATTACCTTGAACGCGATCTCGATGGGCTTTTAGATCTAGATCCACTTTTGGACCTAGAGCGACTCTTGGACCTGGAAGGGCTTTTCGAGCGAGATCTACTTTTCGAGCGAGATCTACTTTTTGATCGGGATCGGCTCTTCGATCTGGATCCGTCTTTAGACCTCGACCGACTCTTGGATTTTGGTCGGCTTTTAGCTGAACCGGACCGCGAGCGACTTCTAGACTTCGATCGACTTTTTGAACGTGATCTATAACATTTAACCAGTTTAAAATAAATATGCAATTAAACTACACTCCGATTTCGTTGTAGGTATGATAGTAAGCGATGATTAAATAATAATAATATTATAAGGAAATATCTGCGTGACATTACAGTTTTAACGTTAAAACAATGTAAAGCTAATACTTGAATTAATTAACAAATAAAGAATATAAAATGAAAAATTCATGCATACAAGCTGGATTCGAACCAGAAACCTTTTAAATATCGACTTTAAATTAGGAGTTTCTTTCTCACTTGTCACTGTCTGACGCCGACATGATCCTTTTCCTCCCTTTATTGGCGGGAGGACTTCTACTTCCGCTTCCGCTGCGACTTCCTCCGCGACTCCGGCTACGTGACTTACGCTTACCACCATCGGAGTCCGATTCCGAGGTCGATATAGTTTCTTTTGATACGATCTTAGCTCGCTGTTTAGCTCCCAGCTTGTCCTCCGCCATTTTGGCTTTCTCGCGTTTACCGATACCCCTTTCACCCTGTTGCGGTTAATTGTATCAAATTACAGAGAAATAAATAAATAACTAGCGACATCTATTCTCTGTCATATAAACTATACGGTCTGCACTGAATAACCAAACATGTCTTCATTAAACAATCTGTATAAGATATGTTAACATATTTTCAGCCAGTCTATAAAATTTTATACGACCACAAGTGATTTACATTTTTTTTTTACAGCCGAGGTATATCAATTAATAAAATGAATATACAGGGTGACTGGTGAGTTACTATCAATATTTAAGGAGCATACTCGGTACATGATTCTCATTCGAATTATGTAAAAAAAATAGGTACTTAATTTTTGACCAAATTTCCGTATAAATAAATAAAGTTTGGACACGTGCCTTGCCGGCGCCAGTGTGTCGCTACTCCCCAACCCCCGCCCTGTGGCTAGCGGGCCATTAGTCGGCTATTAGTCGCGCGAGCGCCGCCGTAAGGTCCGTACGTTCGTCTTCCCGCGCGCGCGCCTAGCGATCGATCTTACGCGTATACCTAATAATAATCTGTCGTGTGTGCGTGTGACCCGTTATTACTTATTAGTAATTAAATATGGCTTTTCAATACACAAATGCTTGGACATGGTTCATGCGTATGCGCGTGCAAATGAAAGCTTGCCGGGCGCAATCAATTTGTACCGGGAGATGTTCCCCAATCGTCGAGTACCTACGCCCAGCGTCATCTTAAACGCTAATCAAAGATTACGAGACTTCGGACAGTTCCGTGTTCCAACACATGCCCAAGGAAACGTCTTGTGTATGCTACAGAGTATGTAAACAGAGAGGAGTTGAAATTAAAAATCAATAGTGATTTCGAAACTATTAAAAGTGACCCATTCGTATTAAATCGTGTGAAAGACAATATGTGTAAACGTGCCGAACTGTGTATCACACGAGAAGGAGCTCGCTTTGAACATTTGTTAAGGTTAGTGTAGTTATGTAGGTAAATAGGTAGTTTAATGATTGACAATTGTTGTAAATAAGTATGATTCCATTTTTAAATACGCCGGAAATACCAAGATAGGTAAACAGTTCATATTATTTTTTGTGTCAAGGTCACACCATTTACCTAGTCAATAAATTGGTTGCTTAAACGAAAGAAATATCTTGGTATTTTTGCCTGTCCTAAGCCAGGATTAAAGTATGAAGGGAATTGGATCATTTTTGTTTATCTAAGGTCTAACACGCGGCGGCGCGCGTTGTTTGGATGTAGGTAAACGACCGCGCGATAACTACATATACCTACGTACATAACTGTTTTGTGTCGATAACGCAGCTAGGGTATCCACGCGATCCGTAATTAATTACATAACTTTTGGTTAACTTTACTTAGAAGTTTATTAATATTTATGTTATATTAATTTTTATTTTGTCATATATGATCGTCAACTACCACGTCCTTAAATATTGATAGTAACTCACCAGTCACCCTGTATAATATTGTCTCACCTTCTTCCTGCTCTTATTCCGCGGCGCATCACTATCAGTGTCGCTGGTTCGTTGATTCTTCTTCTTAGTTTTACCTTTACGACCTTCAGCATCACGCTTGCGCTTACGTTGTTTCGGTTCCCTTTAATCATATTATTTAACGTATATTCAAAGCATCGCCGTTTATAACTTAGACTAAAGATAGGCAATTATTAATTTATATTTATTAATAAGCAGTATAAAGAAGGTTTGCATGATAAACATTAAAAAAACCATAGGATATACAGGTTTATATTACCAAGGAAAATTTGCTGGTATGAGAATTGAACTATAATAAGACTGTCTTATATATAATGATATAATTCCTGTACGAACCCTTCCTCTCTCGGCCTGTCTTGTTCGCTGCCCGAGTCTGATATATACTCGTCTCTTCTGCGACCTCGTCCTTTCTGTTTACTCTCAGACGGCATATCCGCGAATAACAAAGCGTTCTTTGTCTTCTCCTTGTATTCTTGTCGCTTCTGTAACATTTCCACTGTGCTCTTCGCTTGTTCCTCCTCCCTCCGCTTGCGTTCTTCCTCCTGTAATTTATTATAATTTATTAATTCTTATATATATTTCAATAATGAGAAGTTCCATGATCTAGTATAAGTCTTTCAGCAATGAGAAACTTTACGGTCTGGAAATTTATATTCAATTAAATATTACAAATTTGATAGTGTAAACCAATTATACACATACTATACATGCATTTTAATCAAATTAAATTAGGTTCCATTCAATCGGAGATAGTGATTTGTGAGGGACCGCATATTACGAACTTAAGGAATAAATACAAACTTCAAATTGATCGCGTGAGAACTAATTATGGAAAAAAACAATTCAATAAACTACCAGACGAAATAAAACTCTGTGATAGTATAGGGATGTTTAAGGTTAAATTAAAAAAAATATTTAATATCCTCGCTGTAGTAGTAAATGTAGCAAGTCTGTCACGTCCAACGGCCCGTTTGTTAAAATTGTTATCTTGCAAATATTCCTTGTATCTCATTTTAAGTGAATGTAAAAATTCTTATGAGAAATAAAGTTCTTTATACCTTTAAACCCATCACTGTAATGATTGTTTGAAGTATAAATCGTTGAACATTATCCCATTAGTTGAATCGTGATATTCTTCAATAAGTCAACACCAAATCAAACACCCTATATATATATACCTACCACGTAAGTGATGAAAAATATCCTATTATGGAACATTACATCCATTCAAATTAATAAAACAACAAAAACACTATTTTTAAAGGATTTGTCAGACGCATAATGTTGTAATTTCCCAACGCGAACGGATTGAACTGATGTATATGCCTATGCAACTGTTTACACGGGGCGCGAGGTGGGCAAAATCACGCCCCAGCGCCGCGTATGAGTTACATACAACAGAGTAAGACTTATGTTTTTCAACGTATATAGTTGTAACTATCATATACGAGGGGAGGTCAAAAAGTTCGCGGAATGGAGGGGATGGAGGGGGTTGATTTACTCGTCCAGGAAGTAACTTGTTCAACACCTCATTAATAGTATATATACCAAGTTTGAACCAAATCGGGTCATAAACTTTTGAGTTATTAACCTGCAAACGAGTGAATCGGGAAGAAGTCAGTGAGTATGGAGAAAATTGAACACCGCGCCGTTATTAAGTTCCTCACCAAGCAAGGAAAATCCGCTCAGACGATTTTTGAAGAGCTGTTATCAGTTTACGCGGTCTCTGCCCTTGGTAAAACCATGGTTTACAAGTGGCATGGACTTTTTAAACAAGGGAGAGAGTCCACTGAAGATGACCCCCGCTCCGGACGACCGATTGAGGCCACCACACCGGAAATCGTCGCAAAAGTAGAAAAACTTATATTGGAAGATGCCCGGTTGAAGAAGAAACAACTTGCAGCAATGGTTGGAGTATCCGAAACCAGCATTTTAAATATCCTACATCATCATCTTGGGATGACTAAGGTCAGTGCAAGATGGGTTCCACGAATGCTCACGCCACTTCAAAAGAGCGAGCGTGTCGAGTGTTCTCGCCAGTTTTTGAAGCTCTGTGGGGAGAATAAGGATGAAGTTATGGACCGGATTGTTACTGGTGATGAAACCTGGGTTCACCACTATGAACCTGAATTGAAGCGAGAATCGATACATTGGCATAAAAAAGGCATAGCTCCTCCCAAGTAGTTTAAAGTGTCACAATCGGCCGGAAAGATCATGGCGACTGTCCTTTGGGATACAGAAGGTATTTTGCTGATCAATTATAAAGATCGTGTTGTGACTATAACGGGACAGTACTACGCTTCTTTATTAGATAGATTGAAAGAAGCTATCAAGGAAAAAAGAAGAGGAAAACTGTCAAAAGGTGTGCTCCTTTTGCACGACAACCCAACAGTCCACACGTGCCATGTTGCGACGGCTGCCATTCACCGATGCGGATTCGAAAAATTACACCACCCACCTTACAGTCTAGACTTAGTCCCCAGCGACTATTATTTGTTTTCAAAAATGAAAAAAAAGCTGCGTGGAAAAAACTTTGAGAAGTCAAGTCCGCAATTTCGGCCTATTTTGATAGCCAAGATAAATAATTTTTTTCGATGGTATTAATAAATTATTTGTGAGATCCGAAAAATGTATTAAGGTTAAGGGAGGTTATATTGAAAAGGAAAAATAGTTTCGTGTTAAATTTCAACCCCCTTCCCGTTCATTCCGCGAACTTATTGACCTCCCCTCGTACCACAAGTGATGCTACCTGGGCGCTTCGGTATAATGTTATCTTTTTTAGCTTCTACTCCGGAGTAAAATGTCGTATGAACAATATAACAACAATATCTCCGCAAATAGACATATTGATTAACATATCTTTTAGCGTAGTTAAGAAGACTATAATGTTAAATTTAAATACGAAATCTAAAAAAGATGCATCAATAAAAGCAGATTTTTGTTTTAATTTGAATCTTTGAAACGCTCTCCTGTAAAATGACACTTTTGAAGATAGAACAACTTACGTGGGAGGTATGTATATATGAAGCGCACCTGTTGTTTCCTGAACGCCTCCCGCTGCTCCCGCTGCTTGTCCCTGAGCGTGAGTTCCTCCTGGTGTTGCCGTCTCGCTCTCGCCACATGCCACTGCGCCTGTGAGAGCAGGTCAGCGCATGTCCTGGCTTCAGCCGCGGCCGCCGCTCCACTGCCCAGTGGGCCGGTCGTCTCTCGAGCCTCAGTGGTCGCCGCGCCGTCCGTCACAGCGGGCGTGCCGTCGGTGTTGGACAGGCGTTGGAAGTATCTGGAACGTTATTTAATATGTTATAGAGAGCAGACGAGCAGATGGTATACTACATGGAGTGTAGTCACCGTCGCCTTTAGATATCTGTAATATAAACATGTACAAATATAGTCCAACCTGTGCGACACATGTAGTTCATGGACCGCTCTCAGCACGACCCTGAGTTCTGATCGTTCGTCTTTCAGCACGTGCGCGGCCAGTCGTCGTAGAGCGAGCGCGGTGTTGTAGAGTAAGGCGGGGTCGTGCGGCGCTACTCGACGTGCTCTCAGTAGAGACGTGCGAGCGGCGCGCGCTCTACCCGCTAGAGTCTGAGCGCGCCCGAGCCACGTCAGCCACTCCACGTCGTGATGGGTCCGGAACTTTCTTATGCAGTTCTCGTACTGTGATAACAATTCATTTATATAGCATTAGATGGGATATATATATACAGGGTGACTGGTGAATTACTATCAATATTTAAGGAGCATACTCGGTACATGATTCTCATTCGAATTATGTAAAAAAAATAGGTACTTAATTTTTGACCAAATTTCCGTATAAATAAATAAAGTGTGTACACGTTCCAAGTGTTCCTAGTGTGGACGCGTGCGGCGGCGTGCTGATACAACAACACGCCTCCGCGCGCGTATGTGTGAGTGTGTAGTGTAGAGTAATCTGTAGGGTGTTCATACGATGCGTAATTAATTACACAACTTTTGGTTAACTTTACTTAGAAGTTTATTAATATTTATGTTATATTAATTTTTATTTCGTCATATATGATCGTCAAATATCACGTCCTCAAATATCGATAGTAATTCACCAGTCACCCTGTATATATATATATGTCAGTCTCCAAGTATATGTCAGTCGGTGTGAATCAAAATAATTTTTAATAATTTAAAGGGTAATACAGTTATAATTTTATTTGATAACACGCCACCTATAGATGGTTTATTTAACACTTAAACTTTTAAGTTTAATTGGTGAAAAGAACAGTTGAAAAGAACTCGCAACGAAATGTCTATGAAGTGGTACAAATAGTTTTGGTTCCTCTCCTTCTCTCACACTCCTCTCTCTCTCTCTTTCTTTATATATACATATATATTACATTGACTCCTGAATATAAAGCCTCACCATTTGTATAGCATTAATGTATTGTTTCTGATCCACGTATATATGAGCAATGTTCATCCACACGTCTGGAAAATCTGCTGTCGCTTCCCGCACCTGGGCGAAGATGTCACGCGCTTCGTTGATGCAACCCTGTAATTAACATGAAACTAAAATTTACTACATTCTTATTTTTAGTTCACGCAAAATATATATTTAATTGGCTAAAGATAAAAATACTGCTTAATATCTTGAAGTATAGTATTTTTGTGTGATATGTAACGTCCCGCGTCGTTGAGGGCATGTAAAAGTTTTTCTCTTAATTTTTGTTTTGTTCTTCTATTATATTCAATTATGATTTTTTATTCTCCTACTCATTGCTGTGTTTTATTTTATAAGACGACGACTATAAAATAAGCCATAATTTCTCGAAGGATTTGGGCAAAAAAAAAAACTATTTCCAATATTATTTTAAACCAGGGGTGGCCAACCGGCCGATCGCGATCGTTAGTCCAGTCGATCGTGGCCAGTCAAAAAATGTAAATAAATAGACTAAACTGCGCATTTTAATTATCAACACCTGCAGCATCGTCTTGTATCATTTTTCAATCGCTGTTCCGTCACGTTATTTATGCTCTCTTCTACAAAGTATAGCGTTTTGTTTTCGACACGCATTGACGAATAAGCGAGAACGGGGGAGCGCCTTGTCTCAAGTGTCAATAGGTCCCGTGTCACCTAATAATCGGTCAGGTGACAGTTGACGACATTAATTTCTTTTAAAATTGAAAATTCCATAAAAGGAAAATCCCTTCCAAGTCGACTCTTTAAACAGCAATTAGATGAAAAGCAACCAGAATTGGCATTGCACATTGACGTAAGGTGGTTAAGCCGAAGCAAATTTTTGCAAACGTTTCGAAATCTCTTGGAAGAAATAATAATATTTCTTGATGAAAGGGGTGATGATTGTCATCAATTGCGTGATTTGGACTGGCAGTATGATTTAGCTTTTTTGGTTGATTTTACTAGTTAACTGAGTACATTAAATCTGAATCTACAGGGAAGGAATAAAATATTAATAGAAATGATGAGTTCTATTGCAGCGTTTTAAAGTCAAACAGAATCTATGATAGTTGACATAGAGAAGAAAAAAATCGAGCAATTTAGACCAGTGCCGATAGCTTTTAAAACATAAAAAAAAATTATAGTAGGATAAAACCCAATAGAAAAGGGGGAAATATTATAAAAATTGAAGGAAAAATAATTTACGGGCGATCTGAGGTCGGTTCTACACCATCGGAAAATAGAGATTTCAACAAATAGATAACATACCAAATTTTTGAAAAAAGCTGATATTTAGACAGGTGATTTTTCGATTGAAAATGAGGCTGATTTTTCGATATTTATTCAAAATAAGCTGAAAAAATAAATATTTCTAATCAAATAAATTACAGTATATGTGGGACATCAAAAGATAAGTTTTCATCAAATTTCGTGACAAAATATTGTTTTTTGGAACAGATAAAAATATAAAACAAAAAACGTGGTTCTATGAATTTTTCACATAAATTTTGAGATTATGTGAAAAAAATGTACGTACAAAAGTTTAGAATCTTTTTATTACCTACAACTTTGTCATATTACTTTTTTTCGTAGGACGTTTAGTTTTGCCGGAAATCGAGAAAACCCATTTTTTACCCTTAAATATACCATTCCCGACCTCAGATCGCCCGTAAATGATTTTTCCTTTAAGTTTTAAAATATTCCCCTCCCTTTCTAATAGGTTTCATAGTACTATATTTTTTTTTTACTTTTCATTAATTTTAAAGGCTTCTACCCTAGTCTAATTTGTAAACATCAAGGATTATGTGGAAAAACATCCTACCTATAATTTCATTTCTGAGAAGTACACGACAGAAATTAGTGATAGCAGACTTTGAAATTCGGTTTAGTGATTTCGGACAAATTGAGAAGTTGGTTCAATTTATAAGTTATCCGTTTAATGATGCCATTAACCACAGTGATATCTATGAATTGGCTACAAAATTTGCAGATACATTTCAAATGAACCAAATGATGTTACAAAACGAAGTCATTACTCTGCGCTGCGACATATTTCTAGAAGCAAGGTCTTCCTCAGGTCAAGATTTCTGGGCACTGGTTTCCAAGAAAAATATCCAAATTTGAAAAAATGTGTTGAACAACTTCATTCGTGTTTTGGTTCAACATATTATTTACGTGAATCAGCATTTTCCTACTTAAAACAAACCAAAACTAAACAACGCTCTCGCTTGACAGACCCTCATAACCTGATGCTTAACTAGTGGAAAATGTTCAGGCGCAATGCTCCCACTAATATATAGGACTCATATAATGTTAAGTAAATTTCAGAAAACGATCTCACATGTGATATGACAAGAAACTACTAAGACTGGTTAATAAAAAATATATGATTGTGTACTAAACTATGCAGTTCCATTTCAAGAAGTATGTACTTAGTAGATCGCACAGGTTTTTGTTAGTAAACAGTAGATCTTAGGTTTAATCAAGTTGGCCACCCCTGTTATAAACCATCGAACATATCTCACTTTATGTGCTAGCACGCATCCTATCCCGTTGGCCGCCCATATATTCTTGGGGTCGTTCTTCAACACCTGTTTATATAAAGCCAGAGCTCGTTCCTGATGTCTCTTCTCGCGATCCTTCTCCCGACCCGGCTGGTGTAGAGTCTGAAGCCACACGTTGCCTGAAATGTAATAAAAAATGCATTAAAACTACATTTATTAGGTATATTTACATATGTATGATTTTACTAATATTATAAAGACGTCTTTACGGATGTATGGATGTTTACACACTTATCGAATTTTAAAGAAACTTCAATAAAGTAGCTTAGACGCTAGTAAATACACGCATTCATTCAGCGTAGTCTATAGGTGAACACATCACAAATGTATGTAATTTGAAGTACCGTCAGTCAAACGATACGTGTATTACATACATGTACATAACAATTATTATTTATATATCCAAGACAATACAAACAAAGTCATATGCCAACTCCAGTGTAGTCTACACACATCCTCACCGAGCGCAATCAGCGAGTACGCATCGTTGGACGTGCTTGAGTTCTGTAGTATCCGTTCAAACTTCTTCTGTCCCGGGCCCCACTCCTGCTGCGCCAGGTGCAGGTTCCCCAACAGCGACCACGTGTCCGGGTGCTCGATGTTCACCTTCAAGGCCTCTTTGAACCAGTCCGATGCTTCGTATATCTGCCCTTTATCTCTTGCCATACAGCCCAATCTGTTAAAGTATAGTAATATTATATTCAATATTCATTAGTCTTAAATGGTGACCTACACCTTTGTATATAAATCTTATATCTATAATCATGATTATTCTGTTATTCTTAAATACGTTTTTGAAGTGATAACCTCTTATGGAAGGGTAAACCGTTTCGTAACGTAACGCGTAACCGTGCCTCTGAATATCTTTTCTCTTTCTCTCACGTATACGACATCAGTTTTACACAAGCAGGAAAAGTGTTTCGAGTAATATTGATTTCATTCATAAACAAATAATCAATTTAATGTAAATAAAATTTTAATAATAGTCTAAGCTTCTCATAAGTTACACAATTTCTTTATTAAAGAGTTCAAGTTATCACTGTTTTATTTAAGTAACAAATTATAACTAAAGATGCTATAAAAAATAATTTAGTTAAAGTTATGTATATCTCAACTCAGAATATGCCTGCAGATCTGTTAACAAAAGGTTTAGTGTCAAGTAAGCATTATAAATTCTTAGAAATGATAGGTCTTGTCCCTCAATGATTTTTTACCTAACTTAAAGAGTTTATGTTTTAAGTTTACTGTAATATTTTGTTAAGTAGGGGTGTTGTATTTAAGTAACAAATTAATAATTATAACTAGTAACGCTATCTATTGTAGCTGTTATTTATACTTATGTGTCAAATTTGAATAAAGTCAGTCGGTAACCGAAAGTGCACGTTTTAATAATCACTTCTGTCAAGTGTCTTGAGATGCACAAATAAGTTTTTTTCTAAGATATTATTATTAAATTTTAAGAATCATTATAAACTCTACTCAAAAGGTTAAATGTTAATATTATCATACCTCAAGTAACAATCAATATAATTAGGATGTTCCTTCAATATATCTTTGTACAACTTCTCAGCCTTGTTGTATACACAGAGTGCTTCATTAAGTCTGGCCAGGTTGTACATGGTTGTTACTAATATTGAATTGTAATATTGAGCGTCGAGAGTCTCTGCTTCAACTTTCTCTCTGTAAATAAGTAGAATTATTTGAATATTATTGATCGTTCAGAAACATATATTTTTTGTTTCAAACTTTATTTTAATACTTAAATTAAACCATAACTATCAGTCTTATATTTTTCATGTCACAAAAGAATAGTTTATTAATATATAGTAAGGAAGTAGATGTTGCAGGTTAGAAATAATAATTTTAAAAAAAATTTAATGTTAAATTCTTGCTTAAGTTTCTGAATTAAGAATAAAAAGTTATTTTCATTTAAACAATCAGTAATCTAATAAATGATATACAATATTTTAATTATGTATGTTATTAACCTTTCCAAAGCTTCCTCCAAATATTTCATAGCTTCATTTAAGTTACCAAGTCTGTAATGCAATGCAGCAACATTGTTTAATATTTCCGCTGGAATCTCAGCATTTACCTTTTCTTTAAGGATTTTCATGGCAGTGGAATATGCATTAAGTGAACCCTAGAAATTTATATATAAAATTTTATAAAAAAACACCATAATATTATTATTCTGCCTAATCCATATTAAAAACATATATATTGCACAAAAACTAATTTATAACACCTATAAATGAAATTAATTTTTTAATTAATCAGAAAATATGTATATTTTTGATTTTTTTTCACCTGTAAATCATTTTGTTCCAATATTTGTGCTAATTCAATCCAAGCCTCTACATCATCTGGAAATTGTTCCGTTACTTTCTTCAGATGTTGTCTTGCTATATCCCGTTGTAATTGAGAAGGAGAATTAGCATACAGAGATCCTAGAATCTTCATAGTTTCGTAATTGCCTGGTTGAGCTTTAAGAACTTTTTCGAAGCATTGAGCTGCCTGTTTTTAAAATGAGAAAGTGTGTTTCAGAACAAAGTATTTAATTATTGTTTACGCAATTTATAAAATTATATAATTTATTATATACTTACATTTTCAGTGTCACCTCTGTAAATATACATTTGTCCGAGACCATAATGTGGTAGTACAAAATTTGGTGGAGCAAACTGTGTAGCTTGATAATAATACTGGAATGCTTTAACACAATCACCCTGCGCATGATATGCTCTGGCCAAATGGTGACAACTTTCCGCCCTCATTGCGTCATTCTCAGTGTTGTGATATGCATGCAGAGCCAGATGTTGAACTTTACTGTAATCCTAAGATTTTTTAAAGTTTAATGACACTTCAAATACATTATAATAAGTATGATGGTATGACAATATCAAACTTATGCCTTAATTGAATAATATCTACTAAGTATTGTGTGTTAAATCAATTTGTCGTGTTTTAGACTGCTATATGTATTACATATCAAAAGATCAGAACAATCAATTGTACAAGTAAGTAAAATTATATATTTAAAATAATATATATTATGTATTACAATGTTGATGATAAAAACTATTGAAATTACTTACCTTTTTAAAGAAGAAATGGTTTGCCAAATGATTTAAAACCATAGGGTTTTTGGGATCAATTGCATATGCCTTAGATAACATGATGACGGCCATCTTATTGGATTCACTCTCTTGTAAATTCAATTTCAAGATGGATAGCCCGACTAAAGCTCCAACACATTGAGGATCAAGTTGCAATGCTCTCTCAAACGCCATTCTAGCTTTTTCCTGATTATTCAACTTCATGAAACAATGTCCCATTCCCAAACGTAGAGCAGCTGGGCTGTTAGGATTTGTTCTTAAAGCTTTTTTGTAAAATGCCAGAGCCCCTCTATAGTCCTTTCGGTTAAAAGCAATACAGGCTTTTCCAAGCAGTGATGGCACATTGTTGGGTGCTTGATTGAGGACAAAATTGAACTGTGTGTCTGCTTGCGCCATTTTATCACCCTCAAGAAGACAGAAATATGCTCGCCCAAGAAGATGATTCTGTTCAAAAATTGTTAATAAATAAAGTGAAATTGTAAAGAACTTTTTAACAAAATATAGAAGAGAAGAATAGTCACTCACCTGATCGTACATAATAATTTTATCTGCCATAGTGTAAAGCAAAGTAGCTTCAGTAAAAAGCAACTTTTTCTTGTCTTTAGACTTTTCTTTGTTTGCCTCTTGCACATAATATGCAGCCAACATATCAAGTGCTCGCATTTGATCCCTTTCGAAGTCCCTGTAGTCAATATTTGCATCCACTCGGGACGCCTCGAGTATTTTAAGGAAATCATCGATCTTGTTTTGTTTATAGTAGGCAAGCTATAAAATAAGCAATAATAATAAGTAGGGCCCGGATTAATATGTAAATAAATATTTTTAATTTAAGTGATTTTCGGTTTCGGTTTCGGAAATTTTAAAATTTGTTGAAACATAATGCACCTCAACCTAATATTATATATTACTGTGTAAGCATTGTGTTTTTATTGGTTAGGATATATTACTGTGTAAGCATTGTGTTTTTCTGAATAAAGTTATTATTATTATTATTAATTATTATTGTCATATTTAGACTGTGAAAATCCAACTTTTATTTTCCATATTTTACCATATTTCAAAGTTAAGTCCATATTTTACAAGAAAATGTCACAATCATCCATATATTCACGAAAATAAATAAAATTTACGTTCCCGCCGCTTATGTTTTGGATAAAAAAAAGAATTTAATACGCTAAAAAAATTAACAAAATTCTGTGCGAAAGTTTTGAGGGCTGTAGACATGCCTTACACAATTACTGAATTAAGCATGTTTAAGTATGCACCCATCACGTCATGTGACGTGGAGAGATCATTCAGCACATAAGGCTATAGTCAGTTTCATTTTGATAATTTAAAGAAGCACGTCATTGTGTATTGCAACCAATTTGATAAGGCTAGTGTAATGGAAGTTGAATAAAACTATTATTTTTTGTTAAAATAAATATTTCGCTATTTTTTGCCATCGTTTTTTAAATGTAACTCAACAAAAAAACAATGTTTAATTATGAAAGTATTTTATTTTATACCCCATATTTTTGATTTTTTGGTCCATATTTTATGTACATATTTTAGATTTTTTAATACATATTTATCCGGGCCCTAATAATAAGTTCATGAGTGTTTTTAAAATCCGTCACTACTTTGATTTTTTTTGTTATAAAATAGAGATTTTCTATACACCAATACGTATGCATTTTATTTATAGGTTAATTAGTACTCACGGCGACATTAATCCAGACATTTAGCTGGGATCTCTCTTGTTGTAATATACTAAGCACTTCTTCACCACACGGTAAAGATTCGGGATCAAGCTCTATCACCTAAAATTTGTTAAAATAGTCTTACATATTAAGAAATATCAAATGACGAACTTCTTATAGAATATAATTACCTCATCGGTGGACATCAACGGAATTTCAAGCGACATTTTAATGTTTTATTTTATAACATCTCCTTGAAAGTAAAGAATATCTGTTTTGTAATAAACATTAACAATTAATTACAAACATTGAAACATCAAACAACACATCTCAAATTGGCAAAATTTAACATAAGACGAATGTAGAATATAATAGACGGTCTATGCGTACAGATAATATATCCCTATTAAGGATTGTTGGAAATAGAATTTGATAAGTTTAGAATAAAATAATGTTTATTACATTCTTTCGTTAAAACTACATTGCTCTGAGGAAAACTAGAAATGAGGTGCTTTTTAATATATTAATTGTACATACATTTCAGTTTGACTAAATCTTTTAGGACTCGTAATGTACATTTTGAATCAAAGAATTTGTCTTCTCTATAAAACATTATAAGGCCTTCAGAAAACAGATATTATAAGAATTTTAATGTGTTAGAATGTAAGGCTAATATATATTATATTGGTTGCACAATAGAAGTGATTTACGTGGAAAACTAAAATTCATTATTTAGCAGGTTTATAAGCTGATTATAGTTAAGTGTTAATAAGATTTTTTTTTATCTCGACATATTTCTTTTTAATTAACGAAAGCATATTGATTTTGATTTTTCGGTTTTAAAATACATATGGTAAAAGTTATAATTTATATTAATGTTTTTAACAGGATTGATAGTTATGTCTGGTGAAAGTATCCTAGAATCTATTTATGACAGCTGTTCAAAAATATATTTTGACATTGATATTGTCACTAAAAATTTGAAAATAATAATTTAATAAATCATTTAATCATCTCTTTTATAATGAAAAAACATTGATTTTATAACTTCTATGTTTTGGTAGTAGCCACTGATATTTCTTTTTTCCCAATGTAGTTACCAATTTTGAATGATTACGATATGGCTGTTAATAGTAAAAGAATAACTTTAAAACGAACCAGACCAAACCCATTATTTCAAAAATGGCTTCAGGAGCTACAGGATGAGGCAAAGCTTGAATCGAACAGTTTAGAATATTCGTTGGATGAAGCTATCAGTTCATTATCTAAGTACCCTTTACCGTTAGAAACTGGCGCGGAGTGCGCTATACTTAAAGGTTTCGATAAGAAACTATGCTCTTTCCTCGATAAGCGTCTACAAGCATATAAAAAATCAAATAGTGATTCTTCCAAAGTTACTAGCACAACTCAACCTGAACTAGAGTCAATAGATATCAGATCTAAAAAAGCCAAAAACAGTTCTAATACCAAAGATGATTTTGAGAAACAAGCTGCTAGAAAAAAAATTAAACGCACCAAGCTTACCACTGATGTGCTCTGTGAAACTGATGACTTATCTGATAATGAAGTACAAGATGTTCAAGAGGTATCCCAGAGTAATGAAGCAAACGAATCTCAAAAAGATTACTGTTCTAAGTTAGTTCAAACTAGCTACAGCTCTCTAAATACTGAATTGGAAAAATCATTTAGAGCAAGGCAAAGGAAATTAAAATACAAACCTATTTTCAAGTCTGGTAGTTATGCTATAGTGATGGGTCTATGGGAACATTCAGTAGTAAATTCAAAGCAGGGTATTAGTAAGATGGATTTGCTGCAATTAGCCCATAAATATAGCGAGAATTGTATGAAAAATGCTTCAGATGCTTTGCATAATTTCTTATGGGCAAATATGAATAACCTTGTATCAAAGGGCCTAGTGATCAGAAAGAATGGAGAAACACCAGTATTTAAATTGACAAAATTAGGTATTAAAACTGCAAAGATACTGTATAAAGAATTCAGAAATAGACAAACACCTAAAGTTACAAAATCAAAACAATCTGAAGGAGAGGATTCTGATCGATCTAATTCCAGAAATAGCGATGACACTTGTGATACAGAGGTTGAAGATGTAATTGAATTTGAACCTGATTCATATGATATTATTTTATATATTGATGTTAAAGAAACTTCTGGGTGTGTATTTATAGCAACAAATTATTTCTTTGAAGTACATATTGTTTCTAATGTATATTTTTCTTACAGATTAGCTAAGAAGAATGATCCTCTGACGCTACAATTGAAGAAATATCCTAATCTTAAATTTGAGTTTAGATCTTTGAGTGTCGGTGATTTTGCATGGATAGCACGGCACAGGTTAAATAAAGAGGAATTAGTGCTGCCTTATATAGTTGAGAGGAAAAGATTGGACGATTTAGCTAATAGTATAAAAGATGGTAGATATCGTGAACAGAAATTCAGATTGAAGAAAAGTAAAGCTAAAGTTATTTACTTGGTTGAAAATTATGATAGTAGATATGTTGGTTTGCCGTATCAGACATTGATGCAGGGATTGGCTAATACAAGGATTAAGGATGACATTCAAGTGCTTCGAACGGATTCATTGGCGCAATCTGTTAGATTCTTAGCCATCCTGTCGATGAAAATAATTAATGAATATCAGGTAAATATGATCAAAAAATCTATTTATAATATATTAAATGTTTCAAAACTATTAAACTTTTTATTGAATAGGAAATATTTTCTAAATTAACCACTTTTAAGGTATTTTTTTTCACAAATAATAATTATTTAGTGTTTAATTTATTACAGATTGTGTAAAATTACCTTAGAAGTCGTTAATATAGAAAATATCTCAGCTTTAACTTTCTTCTGATAATCTACTTCCAATGTCGATACGCGGTATTATCTAATTGTAGTTACGCAGATTTATACTATCACCGACGATATGTATGTTTATTATATAATAATATAAGATCAAAGTGCATACATTGCTTTATAAAAGCTATTATTTTCTTTCTTTACAGAATTGTTCTGTTAAGGGTCACCACAAAATGGCGGAAGGCGACTTGTTGATGACATACAATTACTTTAAAAAAACTTTGTCAAAAAATAAACCTTTGACTTTAAGATATACCTTTATAAAAATGCTGTTACAACTACGAGGATTAACAACAGATAAAGCTGTGGCTATAACTGCTAAGTACGGTACGCCAAAATTATTAATGGATGCATATGAAAATTGTGATAAAAAAAAAGGAGAACTATTGTTAGCTAATATAAAAGGCATCAGTAAACGTAGTGTAGGACCTTGTGTCAGTAAAAAACTGTACAAATTGTTTACAATGAGCGAATATAAATAACTCAGTAAATATTGTCCCTTAATAAAATAGTTTAAAATGAATTGTGAAGGTAAGGGTAATAGTTCTGTAGTCTTTTTAATTAAAAGCGCAATCATTTTAGGATATTACCATGTAAAATTATTTTTAAAAGGTGACAAATTAGTTATAAATATTATAATCATGTACAGATATTCTTACTTGATTAACTATTGTAAATAATGTACATAAAAAGATATATATTTTTGTAGACTACAACTAATATACTATTTTTTGTGCTATGAAATGTTGTAGATAAACAAACTCTTTCATAAAAATAGGTTTGTATAAAATATTTAAGAAAAGTGAATATTTACTGTTATAAATTAAATCACGAATTGTTTTATCTTTATAAGTATATTGTCTAGTTGTTTTTTAGCTGATGGATCATCGTTTTTTTGTAGATAACTTATTTTTATCAATGAAAAATCTTAAAAGATTTTGTGTCACAGACTGTTAGTATTAAGAATTCTGTGAAAAGGGTGAACTATTGAAAATATTTCTGCTTTTTATATTAAAAAATGAGCAGAATGAAAATGTATTTTATTTTTATTTTCTTTATTAATCCCTTATAGGAATTTATTTTAGGTATAACTTTCAAATGTGTTAGAGAAATGATTGCCAAAAGGTGAGTTATATGAAACAGTAATATAATTTTATATAGAATATACTGTTTAATAAATGAAATAACACTAAAATTTTAGTATATATACTTTATTAACACAACTATTGACTGTGACATGAGAGACAATTATTGAATCTTCTGTAAATAGTTCAGTTATAAGAGCACTTTAGGATGGAATCAACATTTCCAAGTTTACATAACCATTTACGAGTAAACAGCGTGATTGGTTTAGCACAAACATTATAATTAGATTGCAGAGATTCTACATAAGTAAATTAAGCAGTTATTACAAAACATTTGAGATATAGGAGATTCAAAAATAAAGATTGTGCCAAACCAATAATAGATATAAATTCAGACCCTAATTATCATCACATTGTTTCCCTTATACATATGTATTTTGCTTAAAACTAAATATTTATTTTATGGAATTAGCCGTTTCTGAAATTACTTTTGAGATGGCACAGATAAACAAAATCCCAATTCTAATACTAGATTGCACTTAAATAGTTAAACTTTACATATTTTTTTAAACTGATAATAAATATCTTTAAATTCAAATATAGAATTTTTATGTGTTAATATTAGGAAAGGTTAAGAACTTTTTGTGTCAAAAATAGAGAAAACATCCAATCGCAAGCACATATATACACAAAGAACACTTATATTTAAAACAAATATGAGATAAATGCCAAAAATAGAAAGAAACCTAGCACTAACATCTATTATGTGGCTGAAGGTATAATATGCAATAAATTCAAAGTAAATAAAAGAATAGTGACCAGCCACCACATTTAAGGTACAATCTCAATATTATTAATAAAAACCCTGTTACATCAGGAATTCTTTCCAAGAAAATGTAGTGCACATAAAATGAAAAAAAAAATCTTTAAAATTCTAAATATTACATAACAAGAAGTTATAAAAATAACTAAATATAAATCCTAATAGTGCACTTACATAGATATTTAAGCCATGAAAAGTTTAAAGAGTGTGATAGTTTCTTTCCGTTTGGTTCTTGTAGTATTTGAATCCCATGAATCCTATGGCAAGGAGGCCAAGGGTGAGAATCATACCACCAATGAAGCTGGGTCCATCAAAACTGCAACAAAATTATATTTCTATTATATTAAATTCATTACAAAAAATATCATTCATCTCAAATTTTCAGAAAAATTAATAAAAAAAAAAATGATATCAAGTCTCCCCCAGTCACTGAATATCTATTGACTCTGAGTGTCTGTTTTCATACCATAATTAATGTAATTATATTAAATATAAAAAAATATTGACACCACAACAGATCATGGACAAAAATAAATTAGTAAAGTACAAAAATCTCATTGAACCTACCCTCTTGCCTGTAGCACATGTTTATCTTCTGATTTTGGGGCCTTGGTACTGCTAGGCATGTCAGGTTTCATTGTCGTTGCATTGTTGGCGGTCACATCATTCATTGGTTTGTCACTTGGTGCTTTTTCTGTGGTCGCTTTGGTTTCAGTGGAGTTTTTGGCAAGCTCTTTGGAGTTTTCCTTAGCTTTTGGTTCTTTCTCTGTGGTTTTGTTATCAACGGGTTTTGAAGTTTCCTCTTTATGGGCTGGGGTCGCCTCTGAGGGTTTCGCAGGTTCTTGTGTCACTTGAGTTGTAGTTGGCTTTGTTTCCATTTCATTTTTGGTAGATGTTTCATTTGTCACATGAGGAGGGATCGAGGTGGTTAGATTTTTTTCCTTTATGTCTGTTGTGGTACTATTTGTCACTATAGGAGTTGCAACAGGTGCTGCAGCTGTAATATAAATAATTAAACAATTTAAGGAAAATGTATGTATGTTTAAGTTCCAATTTTGTTTTACTATAGTTGCTTCAAGTAATAATAACATCAAAACTTTTCACACAAAAATACACTATACATAAACTCCAGACAATAAATTAGCAACTTATTTACAGGACATATATAGTCACAGAAAAATGTTTCATTATTTTAATATCAATTTCAAGATCTTATGATAAACATTTTTTTAATCAGATGATACAAGACTTAAGATTAAAACAAGTTTGTCTATTTAATATGCACATATTGATGAGGTTTAAATATAACAACTTTAAAATAATTAATTCAATAGCTACAAATATATTATCTATAATATCATATTGCAAATTTTGTAATATATTTTGTGATAAATATTTGATGAAAATATAATTTTTTAGTATTACATGAACATGTTTACCAAGAATCATGCTTTTAAGACATGACTAATAAAAAAGTAATTAAGTACCAAAAGTAGTAATCATAAATAGTTATATTTAATGACAATATAATATAATAAAAACCGGTTTATGGAAGAGGAAAAAATAAGACAGTTCAAAATATGTTTGTTTTGAAAAGTGTAAAATTCTAAAAATATATACATTGTTGTGTATCTAATTATATGTCCTTAAATATATTGTTAAACACTTTCTATTAATGTGCATGATTAATTAACAGTACACATTTACTTCTTTTATTATTCTTACTAAATTTATATATCAAATAAATTTTTATGTGCTTTCTTATAGGAACTTGTTTTAAGGCGGAACTGTGTCTTAGTTGTGATATTTTATTGGTGCAAGGAAATATTCAATAAGGTCTTTATAATAAGCCATATAACAAAGAAATTAATAAGCAATGATATTATGACAGTCTACAATTAACTTATTTCAGAATGGGGAAAAAATTAAGAGAATTACAATTACTCGGAATTTCATGGAAATATTCATAACAAAGACGTATCTAATAAAGTAATATTAATCAGCCTTGAACTAATTCAATAATTATTGAATAAAAAACAACTGTATTTTTCCTGATAAAAAACAAAGTTTCTTCGTGATATATAAATATATATATCAAACATTGGATTTTTTCTTGGAAGAAACTGGTTTTCATCTTAATACAACACCGATTTAGCAATACATTCAAATTCTCGTCGTAAAATGAAACTCGAATAACATTAAGTATACATTGACACGGACAAAGAAATTGTGCAATACTTAAACGTGTTTAAAATTTTACGTTTATAGAACTAGTTAGGATATGATAAAAACAAGAGAAATATATTGGAGAGTAATATAACGGTGTCAGTGATTATGAATCTGACTCCTTTGAAGCATTCCTATTTTTCGTTTTACAATGAATCTTCGTGGTACCTAAATTTTAAAATGAATAGTTACTAAAATTAAGATTTCTTGTAGTTCTTATTGAAATTTAGTTTTAAAACTAGCTAACTTACAAGAATAAGATTTTTTTTTAATTGAACGCAATTCCTTCGATGGGCGACGCCAGATTGTTCTGGTAATAATTAATCTTACCTTTTTCTTCTGCTGCGTTACTGAAACACATCGAAAACGACAGCAGACCCAGTAGTATAATTTTCTTCATCATTTTGAATGTAGATCGTTAGTTTCCTTCGTAAAAATACCAAAAATATTCTTTGAGTCACGAACACAAATTACAAATGACGGCTCTCAGCTCTATGCTAATACGAAGAATATGTGTAAAGGAAGAAAAATACTCAATTAATTTGTGTAGTCTGTAACTGTATAACGATATTTTTCGACTGGCAATAATTTACAGATGGTAAAAATTGAATCGATTTTTAAATCGAATCAATTTTTTAATCGCATGTTAAATAATTCTCTCTATTAATCGAATTTCGTGTAAAATTTAAATTAATAAATTTGCATGTTACTTGAAAAATCAATGCAATATTGTTTGACAAACTTTCAAATGAGTGCCTGTGATTAAACTTACGCTTTAAGTGATAAGTACCAGGACATAAGTTTAGCGTTGTTTGGGACATGGCTCAATAATATTGCAGGTGTGGCTTGAAGAGACAGGAGGACAAGTACAGTCGCCTTAGCATTGCCAACTTTACATGAATCGATAGTTTCGATGCGATATTCGAAGTCGATCTTTGCATCGAATTTCATTGGGGTAAATCCTGTTGTATCGGGTAATTAAGAGAGTATAATATGCTTCTTATTGAGTCGAATAAATCAGCGCGCTTTCTCTTTGAAGTTCTTTTTTATTAGTTTTGACACATCAGCAACTCTAAATTCCTACTTGTACAACAGTTTCTGTAGTAAAAAGGTTAAGGGAATAATTTTCTATAAAGGCCGTTAATCAGATATAACGATTCAGATGCTTTGCTAAACGAATATTGGTTCTTCCGTGAGTGATCTGAGTAAATTGGCCAATTGTCCTCTCAATTATGCTTCCATTTTCTTCTGTGTTTAAGCAAAATCCTATAATATTTAATTCATAGCATTAAAACAATAATTTTGGTATAAATTTGTTTTGCTGGACAAGAATAATTGTAACAGTAACTTACCAGCTACAGAATTAAAATTCATTCGCGAACTATAATTACCGTGGATAAATAATTATATATTAAATAATTGGATAAATATTAAATAATTATAGTGGAAGGTATAACATTGTTAAGTCTATTATTACTTTTTGGACTTTTTGTTTGTTGCCCAGCAATCACATTTATTTCCCGCTGTTTATTGATTAGCGTGTTAATACTCTGTCGCATCTTTATTATAGTACCTATTATCTGTCCCTGTGTTTCCTCATGCTTATAGAATATAGAGTGAAAAACATATGTACTATGCACTTCTTGACACTTTGACTTTCGTTGATTTTAGTAATATCGACGATTCTTCTTTTTCGAGTCACCTGGTTCTAAAATTGGCAAAATAATGTAAAACTAACTTGTTTTACTTAACGCCTATCTAAGTTAAAGACTGTTATTATGACACTTTTGGACGCGTAAATATTTGGCTATAGAATATTTGTAGGAACTATTAGGTATATAAGGAAAAACTGGTTAGTTGGTTACCCAATATCATTAAAGAACACTATTCTTGCATTCCCGAGGTAGTCATTATCTTCGCACACAATATTAAATATCAATAAGTAACAAAGAAATGCCATATAACAAGTGCGATTTTAAATGAAATTTCCTTTTCTTTATAATTATTTCCTAACAACAAATCACGTGTGAAAACCGATATGACAACGCATGTCTTAAAAACTGACTATTGTGTATTGACTGTTATCAGTCATCACCTGTCCTTTTGCTTCGATGGATATCGGACCGCCGAGTCTTCTATACCCTGCGAAATAGGATTAAATTACGGTCAGCAATTCCACAATCTAATCCATTCTGCCATGAACTAAATCAAGGTTTAAACTATTTAATTTTTGTTCCTACCGAACATATTTTTGTTTAATTAAGACAGAGGGGAACTTGGGTATCTGGAGTTTTATTTGTTTTCAAATATCTTGTCAATTCTGCTTTTCCCTCTCTCACTGCTCACATAAGGCCGATATAGGTGAATAAGCATAAGCATATAGGTGATTAGGAGAAGCGAGAGGATTATAACATAAAAACCGAAGTATTTTGATTAAATCTGAATTATAACTTACAAAAAGCATGTTCAAAATTATTAACAAAGAAAACCAAACATAAATCAAAATTAAATGATCCCTTATCAAAATTTCTTACATATAAAAACCCCGATCCTATAAAAAATGCAAACTGAGATGGTTCAGTAAATTTGTATTCTTTGTTTCTATATTGTCTCGTATGAACAATAAATAGAGATCCATCACGTCAATATAATGCTACCGTAAAAGCGATGCGTATCGGGAAATTTATCGTGGCTTCGCTGTTTGGCAGCGATTGCAAAATCTGAATACTGATAGGTAATGTCACTGGTACAAGCTATTATTAGTGACATTACGATTTCCGACACACTTCTGATAAATTAATGTGGGCGGAATCTATTGACACAATTACAATGACTAACGGATGTTTGATTGGGAAAATTGCAAATTGGGAAAAATAACTGTTAAGAATATGACGTTTACTTTGGGATAACTGAATGTATTTTACATTTATTACCATTTTAATCGAACGTTCCAATAAAAAAAGAGTTTTAATATTATTCAAAGAGCTCTGAAAAAATCGAAGTTCTATTGAAGGAACTTCATTTCATTGTTTAGGTATATTTAAATAGGTTGTAATTTATTTGCAACTTTAATTGAAAGAAATTATAGCAACCAACTTTTCCTGTAATGTATTATATTGTCACTGCTTTTTTGATGACTATTTTTAACTTAGAAGTCTATTTTCATTTGTCAATTGAAATATACTTTGTACTAAAACATTTAGCTTGACTTACAATTATACATAAACATTTATATAATACTTCGAGAGTATTAGTTCCACTGATTATTTTAAAGATGTTTTGTTTCAGTGAATCTTTTAATTAAAAATATTTTATACAATGTATATATATAAGAATGTACGATACGTATAAAGATACTTGTGTAATAAAAAGATCAAAAATCACTAATGCTTCTAGACTCCGAGTTTAGTTCCAAGACAAGAAAAAAATCTTCAAGAATAGTTGTTAAATTCATTGCAAAAGCTAGCAAAAGCATAGTGCACTTTGCTAAATTACAGCAATATTCTGAAGGGACAGCTACAGTAAGAGGGAGCGACAGTTAAAAGTAGACGATATTACCCAGAGAAATTCATATCTAATGCAATTAATGTAGAAATGTTTTTAAATAAATGCAACAGAGGAATGTGCTGGTCAGCTAAATACGAAAATTTTGCTCTCTTATTGTCGTTATCTGTAGTCAAATTATTATTATGCACGAACACAGCACATTTTTGGCGCTGGGACTGAAATTAAGCTTTATTATTTAAGTAATGGCTAGTTTGATCTCGTGGTATTTTGTAATTAACATAACTTAAGAATGTATTTTTATATTTACATATATAATATTATGTTGTACTTATATAAATACTTTAATAAGAACAATTAATATCGGTATGTTTAAATAAGAGATTATTTCGATATTTGTAAATATTAGTATTTATGTTTCTTAAAGAGATATTTTATTGTTTTTTTTTCGTTTACTCTACTTAATTAATTATATTTGTATATTTTCTTATACTTGATATTCACTATCAAGATTTGTTATCCAAGTTCAAAAGTAATTCCTAATGTAAGTTGCCGAACATTTTTCACCTTTATGTGCCTTAGGGAATCTCTTAGATTTTAAGTAATTACTTTTAGAGGATCAAACATCTACGAGTATTTCGATATACCTAAATGAAGATTAAAAGTGAAAATCTTCTCACAAATCAAGCAAGTTATTGATTATTATTTCAATGAAAGCTCCAAGCAAGTGATAAGTTTTTCGCTTACTTATTTACAAGTCACTTTTTTAAATATAAAACAAATGGAGTCAACAAAATTAAGTAAATATGATACGATGTTTACTAATATACTAGTTATCCTGTTCATGTAATATATATTTTTTAAATTTAGGAATAAATTAACGAATAACAATACTACCAACAAAGAGTATTAATGTTCATTATACATTTTTTTTTTATTGTTCGTTGTCGTGGTAAAGTGCAGAAAAAAATACCTATAACTTCATAAAGCTAGTGATCGAATACTTTTAACGCAATTTTATCTCCTTTGAATGAAGTTAAACATCCAGCCTCGTATTCCTTAACCATTAGGAATTTTCCTATCCCGCATTTATACACAACATATTTCCTTAAAGAAAATGATAATTTAATTAGTTAGAAATAGGGAGAAGCAGTTATTACGTTTTTAAACTATGCACTTACTGATTATTTATATTATAGTTATTGACCTTAATTATTTCAGTGATTTGTTTAGTCACTGTCCTTAAAAATTTATACATGGAATAAAAAAGAAATGTGAGGTATATCTTGCTAAATAAATTAATCTCTAATATTTTCTTTTTATTTATCCTAAGTAATTTTTAATTTACAAGTGGAGGTAAATCCGCTAATTCATAATATCTTGTGCATCCGGTTGAAAGGAGGTGATCATAGCATCTAGAGGGTTTTAGGTATGACTTCCAAACTTTCATTTCACTTACTATTTGCATACTTTTCATTCTATCTAAGGAAGCACGATTGTGAAGTCGTTGCATTTCCTTTGCTAAAAATACATCATATTTAGTTTAATGGTTATCATTCTAATCTCTGGACAGTCTGTCTTTACCTCATGACTTATAAACAGCTGTGGATGTTTCCATAGGAGATCCTGATTTTATGATATGGAATCGGCGTAACTTACGTATTCAGATAAAATTTTTGAACGTAATTTTCATAACCATGTATGTGCGTATATATATATATCTGCTGTTAGTGTTTTTATCATCTTTTTTGTCCTATTCTTATCTTAACCGTTTATTTTAACTTTTCACTTCTAAATCTTCCCAGAATATATTCTCAACTGCCTTCTGAACTTGTCTTTGAGATATCCTCAAACCTTAAATCAAGTAGGTTAAAACAACTGTAACCTTAAGTTAAGACA